TATATATATATATATATAATAGTTATACATATATATAATTCATGCCGGTAATATAATAATGACAAATTACTGGGGCAATACGCGAATATGAAGAAATTAATCTTGTGGGAAGTTGTGATGTAACATCCGGTGTGCGGTTGCGAAAGTCATAATGATTTAACTGTGTGAGAGAGAAAGAGGAGGGAAAAGAAGAGAGAACTGTCTTAGAGTCGGTGTTTTGCAAGTATTTTTGTACCGCCGCGTTCTGTCCCTCACCTCGTCTAGCCGTCAGACGATAAAATAAAGTCGGGGATTCCTAAAGAAGCGAACGGTATATCGTAGGCAAGAACAATATATCGTATATCTTGGCGAAGGAATATAAAGGGGAGAGAGAGAGAGAGAGATGGCGCGGTTTTCTCGCCCTTCTACGTCCGCCCTCAACGAAATGATGGCTCGTCTGGTATTAAGTACTTTCGAGTTTTAATTTATTACCCATCTTTTTGTGAACGCGAGACAAAACGCGATCAAGTACGTCCATCAAATAATTTAGTGCGAACAATAGACTATTTCGCGATTAACGAGACTTGTTTAAGCGCCGATGGTGATCAGTGATGTGTAAGAAAAAAATCATTATTTAATTCAATTAGGAGCGCCATTAATAATTGCAGTTAATGTGTTATCAACGATCAATATCTATATATAGATATATATATATATATATATATAGCTCGACAAAATGTATTGTTAGCTTTTTCCGTTCGATCGAGCGTAATCTTTGCTGCTTATTAATTAATTTAGCTATGAGTAGCGCGACCCGAAATTTAGCTGTATATATATATAGAAATAAATGGTTAGTTCTAGTTTTCAGTTCAATTAAACGAACAAAGAGCCTCTCTCATAATAGATATAAAGAGTTCTCTCCCATAATACATTATAATCATTAATTATATGGCTAGCGGACAGTTATTCTTTTACATTTTAATTAATTACATGTATTACATACATATATGTATAACGAAAAAAAACGTATATTTTTCTCTCTAAAACAATTTATAAAAAATTTTGAAAAATGTTCATCGCTGAAAAATTAACAAACACATTAGACAGAAAATTTTATTGAATTTTTTATACGCACAATTCTTTTTTTAAATGTACATTCTGCGCAAATTGCGTTCGACAAAAAGCATTGCAATGCTTTGACACCCATATCTGCGTCCAAAGTTCGATCAATTGAACATATACAGCGTCGTTGTTTAATTGCACACGCGATTAAACGATATTTTGTCACTTTGTGATTTTTGTGTATTCGGTCGCGTTCAACTTGGCAGAAAAATTACGAAAGAACTCGCGCGAAATCAAATTCAATCGCGACGAAGCGATACTAATTTCCTCGAGAACGCACATATACGGACAGGCAACGTTGGAGTTGTTCCACCCCATTACAACGGAGATCCATCATCGGACGCGACGGTGACGGATTAAACTTCGCGAGTATCGGCGCGATGTATAATTCGATAATTATACGGCGGAGATCGTCGCGCATATCGATCGATCGAAAGTTCCGAGCGAGCGAGATCGCGAACGGCCTCTCGAGACGCGCGAGGAAAGAAATTTTTGCCCCAGCTGCGCTAATTTAAATACTTCTATAAGAAACCGTACTGTCTCCTATTCACCTTTCTTCTCTTCTCTCTAACTTCTTCAATTTCTTTGCGATAAATTGCGAAACGCGGCGCCGAGTCTACAATAAATAACGCTTCCGTCAAAGTTGCGCCTAAAGCAATATAGCTATCTTAAAAAAAATATTAACACTTTTTAGAAACGCACATGTAGATACATCAAACATATACATTTACATATGTATTCAAAATTTTGTAAAATGAGAATTTAATGTAATCTAATGTAATAAATTTAATGCAGCAAACAATATCTCGTGAAACATTAAAAAATTTTATATTGTATATATGTCGATGTAATTTCTTTCATAAATTATTTGGAAATTTATTGCAATCATTGTTTGCACATTTAATTATTCTATATGTCTTTAATTAATACATACATACATATAACATATGTAATTCATAGGGCTTAAATATTTAAGAGCTAATAAAAAATGTATAATTTAAAGAGTTTAAATATTTAAGTAATATAAATTATATTTTTTATTAGCTCCATTGTGCGATTCTAAAAAATTCGATATGATTGATAGCAGAGGAGAAAGATCGTTATACTATATATGTATACATTGACGGTCGTTATTGCCCGTTGACGCGCATGTTTTCGCCTTTGAAAGATTTTAATAGATTAAAATACTTTGAGCAATTTGCATGAGAGATTTATTACATAGCTTCGCGAGAAATGTCGTCCTCGCAAATTGTTCCCCTTAAAAGCCGCGCATGTTTCCGCATTGAAGTAATCCGAGTTATCTGCACGTTAGCGGGGAAACTGAATAAGAGAAATTCAGCACTACAATTGGGGGAATAAATAATTTCCTTGTGCTAATTGCATGTGCATAATAGTTACATCTTATAATAGCAATTGCAAGTTAGCGAGATAGTTTTTTTTTTTTAGCGCGTAGAAATTATATTTAAAATAAATAAAAATAAATTTAAAAAAATCTTTTATATTATGCAAACTTGGTGTCAGAGATGCGTTAGAAGTGTTAAATAATAAAAAGTATCTATGAGATTACAGTATATGTTAAATAATAATTTAAATATTATGAAATATGTTAAAATAAAATAAGAAATAATAATTAATTTACTATAAAGGGTATTGCAAGAAAAAAATAACAATTGTAATTATGTTTTTAATTTGCTAATTGACACTCCATTCATCTTCTATATTTAAAAAGTTACGTTAGATTCAGAGTAAAGTAACTTTTAATAGTATTATTTCTCGGATTTTCCTGCATGCAAATGCGATTAAAAGTACATCGTTGCTAATAGAAACCGGAGGAACATGAACGACATTTACTGAATAAAAACATAATGAATGAACAAAGCCATCATGGAATATTATGTCAATACTCTATGATAAGAATAAGAAATGTTTTGGCAACGAAATTGTCAAAAATTTTGTAAAATGAGAATTTAATATAATTTTAAACAATATCTCGCAAAATGTTTTAAAATTTTATATATCTGCTCTCTATGTATAGATTTCTTTTATAAATTATTAGGAAATTACTGTAATCATTGTCTGTTATTCAAATAATCTGTGCATCTCTTTAATTAATATTTACACATATACATTAATTAGATACGCATTATTTAAATATAACAAACATTTATAATATTTTTTAAATAATTTGAAAATTATTACGTTGAAAATTTTATGTGACTTTCTATACTTATTAGATGCCTACATCAATAAAATGTAACGAGTGCTTACTACAATTTCGAATATATTTTCAGAAGTGTAATAATTATATATTCTCTTATGACGTTTCATTATTCAGAATTATCGGTTAAATTTTGTCGTCCAGATAAAAATTAAAAGGCACTGACTTTTTTTAACTTATTAACGCCGCTTTTAGTAGCCGAGAGCGAGGGCACGTGTAAGAGGTTATTAACTTATTACGATGTAGCGATAAATATAGTCGTCGGGGAAACATGCAGGAGAACACGACGCGCAATCTCCTGTGTCACGTTGTCAGCTGACCGTACGGTCGTCTCTATTCTCTGCCATGTCCCGTGAAATGTAGTCAATCGGGAGGCTGAGATATCGCCACTAGCTTTAGACACGCTTGTCTGCGAAATTCGACGGAAATTTGCTTGAGAAAAAGAAACATTTTCCGGAAAATGATTCAGAATAATAAGCTCGTTCATTGCGAGGATGCGTAATTACGTCGTCGAAAGCGTCTTTAATAAGTCTTGTCGCAATTAATAGCTAGAATCGTCGCTAGAAATATATGTTTTCTGGGAAAACAGCGCGAGATCACAACACGCTTCATCTCATCGTCGTTTCGGTCGATGCTTTTCGTGTTCGCTTTCGTCAGCGTCACTCGGTTTTGCTCCAGGATGAATCGCGATGGTTCGCAACGAGGACAATGATAATCCTCTGTAAAACAGTGTGTATGATGTACAAACAATGCCGCTTAACGTTAGGCTCCCGGACATACAAGCTGTCCGGATGTAAATATTGAAGGAGGATTAATATTCGATACCTTTTTTTCGATGTTTGTCCTTCTTGTTCGCGCAAGAACAGCGAAAAACATATATGATTAATCAGTTATACTTGCAAAGCTTGTGTGTTAAGATTCAACGTATCATTTATATATTTTGAATTATATTAACTATATTTAATTTCAAAGTCATCTAATCAAGCATAAGGAGATAAATTTAGAAATATTAACAGTATTAATAGTATTAAAAAAAGTAGAGTATCGTTACAAATATACATAGAGTTAGAACATTCTTTGAAATAAAAAAATAAAATTAAGATAAATTATTTTTAATAAATAAATAAATATTTAAAATACATTATTTTCTCTTTCATTTCTTGCTTGCAGGTTCTCTACTATTCGCTCGTGTAAACATCGTTTGTATGTTTTAGCGCACACTGAAAAAAATTCATGTACTTTTACATGGAAATTACTTGTTTAACTAAGAAAATCATCTAATTATCACTGTAATTTTTTCCCCATATTTTTTAAAGTGAAATACATATTAATGTAAAAATATATGTAAAAGATAGGTAAAATTACTATTTTTACAAAAATCACTTGCAATTATAAATTTAATATTTTTATATCATTATTCCATTTTATTTATAACATTATTTTATAGCATTATAGCATTACCAGCATTTCCTACGTATAATTCCATGTTCAGGGAATATTTTGAATCTTGAAAATATATAAGAATATATTTCATATAAAATTACATATAATCTGTAATCTTCCATATGCGCAGCAATGTTACATGATTATGCTGACAAATATTTTGTTCAGTGTGGTCTAAACAGATACCACTTCTAATTTAAAAATTTGTATTAACGTTCCTCCCTTTGACTTTTTCCAGAACATGTCGTCTCTACGAACGCAGTCGACTAGCGGTGGCGTTCTCGGTTTGAGCAGCGTCGGTTCCGATCGCACGGGAGCGACCTCGATCGCCGCCGGTTCCCACTCGCATTCCCACTCGCACAGGAAGCATCATCATCACCACAGGAGCAGGAGCGCGCCTCGAGCGCCCGAGAAACCGCCTAGAAAGCGTCATCTAAATCCCGGACAGAGTCTCGCCTCCATTCCCAGTCAGATCAAGTTGTCTATGCTGAACAGCGGCCTCATCTCCTTCGGTGAGTCGACTACTCGATTCCGTAGTTCCGCTTAATGAATCACGCCCCCGCCTGGGACTCCGCGTTAATCCAGGACAATACTAATGACTGAGGGACTCTGTGAATTTCGCGGATAGCAAAATCTTACGCGATTGGAGAGACGTTTCAATTTTTCCCGCTCTTTCCCTCTATTTTTCTTTATTATCTCGCGACTTACGCGCGAGCTAAACGCCTTCGCGTTTACACGAACAAATTGCAAGCGATGAAATTTACACAGCATCCCGAGCCGGAGAATAAATTGAAGAAAAATATTTCTGACGCTGGTATCAGGGTTTGTGACATTTAATCATACTCTTTCATCAATGATTCATAATTTTATATACACGCGTGCGCTTTATATATATATATATATTTTTCATATCGGTACGTTAAGTATATTTATATATTCATTCTCTCAGCTATGAAACTCTCATGAATAAAGTATAATATAATAAAACGGCGAACAATAAATAAATGTTTTGTTGCGATCGAATATGAAATGTGTTATTGTATTATCTTTGTAAATACGAAATGCGCCGCCGCGTCACGTTATCGCGCTGAAATTATACAGATTTCCGCATTCGCGTGTTATTATAAATACACTTTCAATGTTATATATATATATATATATATATATATATATACGTCGAAATAAATTTTATGGATTCAGGCCGCGGAGAATCTCAAGGCTTCACTTAACGACTGCGCAATTGACACTCGGCGAAGAACATCAGGCGCATAATTCAATGAAGCTGCGAGACGCTCCCTCGAGGCCTTTAGAGGCGTATTAGAAGCTTTTAGCGTCGAGCTGACTGTTTCATTTTCCTCGTCGGAGTATCGTTTTACGAAACTTTTCCGTTTCGTGCATTTTGCATTTTCGCGCGAATACAAAAAAAATCCTATATATTCTTTCGCATCGGCGCGCGCGTCTCTCTTGTGACATATTTCAATTCTCTCTCTTTTTTTTAAATTTCCGAGCTTTAACTTCGCGAGTCGGAAAAATCGAGGCATTATATTCTCTCTCGCTGGCCTTCCGATTGCGAATTCTAGACTCTCGAGAAGAGAGACTCAACGTACTTTAAATATTTTCGGAACTCTCGAGACCTTCGCGCTGAAACTTAGTCTTCGAGAGATCGAAGAGACAAGAATTCTCGTAACTCCGAGGAGCTTCGCGATCTATTAGGGATTTTTCAAGATCGCCAAAGGGGGAAAAATTCGCGATTTAATTTGAAAAAAAGTTTCAGCTGTGCTCGGGAATATTTTCGGAGGGAGATTAGAAGTTATATCTGCGGATAATTCTTTCGGATGATATAATCATTAACATCTGACTGAATTTTAAAGCGCTCTTGGATATTTTTTCGCTGACGGTGGATCTCGCTTTGTCGATCTGAATAGCAAATCTGCCGTCATTAGCAAGTCAATACGTAAACATACGTAAACATCGATAATCCTAGTGGATCTGTATGCTGCCTCTTGATCCGCGTGATATGACGTCTGAGGTATCTTTTGAATTCCGTAAGTGAAGTATGTAATGCAAACATCGAGCGGAGAAGCTTTCTCGAACGGAATGGACCGTCGTTATACATTAATGCAACATTGTTTAAATCATATAAAAGCCCTTTCATGCTGCGAACTAGTTATCGAGCAATATCGAATGGAAAATAATAACAATCCAACGGACGCAACGCTTTCAAGAATTTATCGAAATAACACGTGACGACTAATTAATCGCAAAGACAAATCGTAATAATAACGCAGCGCAAATATATTCGCCATTTAACTTTGATTCATTGTTAATGTAAATTTTCAAAAATTTGTTTTGCATTAATTCGTGCAGCGAGATGCTCCGAGAGGTAAAATGCGTAAACGTTAAAACTACATTGTCAATAATGTCAATTATTTACGAGAGACTAGCTAGAGTATATATTTGTTATACTCCAATAGCGTGTCTTTACGAATCGCTGCATCGCAAGCGAGGAAGATAAACATTCGGCGCCGGAAATTTCATCCCAAGAGTGTAGAGAGAGAGAGAGATGGAGAAAGAAAGGCGGGAAGGCTGTTTATTCTCAGGTGTAATCAGACGAATGACGTATCTGCCTTGACACCTGCCATCGTCACGCAAGAAACCAATTAATGCGAACGTTGCTTCACCCACGATAGGGTGGATAGCGCTTTAATGGGTCATTAAAGAACCGACCGAGCGTTCTATACATCGCGGAGAATACAAAACTGTTTAAAGCTTACGTTTAAGCTTATAGTATATACGTTTAGCCGGATAAAAGATCATTTATATTTTTCTCGCCTTCGTCACGAAGCAGGCTTACTTTTTTTTTTTTCAATGAACAAACATATCCCGTTGTCGACGCACGTGAATGGCGTTGTCATTTTATTCGAGGGGACAATGTGGCCGAGATGTATTAATCATCGTTTGAGACAATAACACTGCCAGTTATACACATTTTCAATTGTCTCGCGTTCCCAGACGTGCATTTTTCACTTTTATACAAACAGGAATGTTGTCCAGGAAAATGATGGGATCTTCTTAATGAGTAATGCGAAAAAAATACAAGAAACAAAATTCTAGGTAAACATCGCGCGTTGAAAATGCGATTAAAATCAAACGATTAAGTGTGAATAGCCGGTCTTTTGTTGTCTTGAAAGGACGAATTTCTCGTCGGCATAAAGTGTCGATGCGTCTCGTATATAGTTTTCAAAAAGACTTTAAGAGAAACGGGGTAAATCTCTCGTATCGGCTTTATTTTCAGAGATATAAGAGCGCCCTTGAGCATTATAAATGGCTTCATGCATTTTTACAGCCTTGTAATGAAAACTTTTCTCGCGCTGAGCGAGCGAGAATGTTGAAATCGTACGACACGTGTGTGACATTCCATTTTATATATCGTAAGGGGGACAGATATTTCTGATTAAATCGCGGGTGTCTTTTATTCCGCGAGAGAAAGAGAGAAAGAGAGAGAGAGAGTTAATGCCCCGCAATTTAAAAAAGAGGATAATTTTATCCTGATTTACTTTTCACTATAAACGTAAATTAAATCATAAATATTGATATAATAATTGTCATTATTACCGCTCGCGTTTGATAAATTATAATACTGTTTGCTAATTGTAATTGACATGATTTATGATACAATTTATATCCCCATCTCCCGAAAGAACAGTGTAAACACTAAATTATAATTAATACATTATGCGTGTTTGTCGTACATTTTTTAATAACCCAAATGACGAGGGAAATTAATACATGCAATGCTCTCTGATGCTGTTCAAACAAAAACAAGTTATCCCTGTAACGCTTTATTTCACGTCTCGAGTTCTCGAAAATATTTGGCTTGGATTTACGGATTACTCGGAGGAGGAAGAAGGAGGCGAAGAATGCGTTACTGTGAAGAGTAGCTGTGCATCTCGGATATTTTTAAACCGACGCATACACCGAACTGCATAACGTTCGGCCCGAGCGCGATGCGATGTGATGATGCCGCTGTCACACCGAACAAAGTTAGTTGATCTTGACACAAATGCGAGCGACCCACTGCCACGAGCGAGTTGCATCGCCTTAGCATATCTCCTCGTCTTCGTCGCCGCGCCGGAGGCGAGCCTCTTTCGTAACGGAAATAAAACGACGCTTTTCCGAGCTGACTCATCCTACGTCCGACCTACGTCCGTGAACCGGATACGAGGTGCAAGCACGACGACTGCCACATTGCGTGACGACGATGACGACGAGGCTGGAATTTGTTGGAGCACTTGACCTCTCGCGAGCTTTCGACGCACATGTGTTATGTATACGAGTGCATTTCGCGTGCGAATCGTCTTTCTTGATGAGTTTCTTTTTTTTTTTTTTTTTAGTGGAACTCTTTAACAAAGTCGAGAGACCTATTACGGGGTGGATTAAGCACCTGTGCTTTTTCTTTTATCATTTTTACAACACCAAGAAATATACTGAAAGAAGAGCGAAATATTTATTTTGGGAATTGACGTGGAAGTTTTCTCGTTAATTTTTAGAAAGACCAGCGCTTCCGCCATAAAAGTAGATAATTAATAATTTGTTGAGAAATTAATGGAATTATTAAATTAACTTTTTGCAAAAACAAGAAATAATGCTTATTTTATGTATTACTTTTTAATCAAAAACTCAATACATGCATTTCGCGTGCGAATCGTCTTTCTCGACGACAGCTTTTTTTTTAATGGAACTCTTTAACAAAGTCGAGAGAGACCTATTACGGGGTGGATTAAGCACCTGTGCTTTTTCTTTTATCTTTTTCACAACACCAAGAAACATAATAAAAGGAGGAAGTTCTTACACGAGTAAACTATTTATTTTAGGTATTGACGTGGAAGTTTCCTCGTTAATTTTTAGAAAGACCAGTGCTTCCATATAGAAGTTAATAATTCGTTGAGAAATTAATGGAATTATTGAATTAACTTTTTTGCAAAAACAAAAAATAATGCTTATTTTATGTATTATTTTTTAATCAAAAATTTTGAAAACTATGACATATGACAGAGATTTCAAAAATCGGAATTGTTATTAAAAAGCATAAAAATGTTGTGGAAAATGATAATTCTCTTTTTCTCTTGATTGAATCATATCATGTATATATTATAATATTGTAATAATATGTGTTCGAACTATATTAGCGTGGAATATATATAAGAGATAATTTACCGACAAACAATTCTCTACAACTCCAATCCAAACAACGCGACTGAACTCATCTAATTATTGTGTATTTATCGGGTATCGAGTCGGCCGCATAATCATACGCGGAAACGCGTATTATACACGGTCGAATGATATCCCGTCGGTGACACGAAGTAAACGATGCGTGGCATTGCGCGCAATAACTGATACTAGGATTTTATTTGCACATCCACTTAAACGAGAGAGTTTATCCTGACTAAATGCCCGCGCGGTCTGAAGCCTATTAACCCATTTTCCCTGGCGCGATACCGGCTGAAAA